ATACATTGCTGAATTGAACACTATTGTGTCTTAATACTTGCACTAGAATGTGCACTGCAAGGCCAGAAAGCTGGTATTTTTGTTCCTTATGATACAGTGTTCTGTAGTTCGTTTATCTGATCTTTGTGAAACAATTTAATTGCTTCAATTAACGTTCACTTAAACATTCCTATAAAAATCATGTTTTTGTGATCACAGTAATAAAGGGGATATTCATTGTGAAACATTAAGCTCTGTCTTTGTGTCTGTTTGCTATTTCTTACAAGTAGCATTTATAATAATTTGAGATTGCGTCAAAGGCTGAACAACACCTTTGCTTTTTGTAGTAAACTCTTTTCTAATTCTGATTTACTTTTTTACAGGCATTCTTTTCAACTGAAGTTGCCATTGCATTAATACTCATAGTCAAAAGACATGTACAATCTCATACAGAGTTTCTGAAGGACTAAAATTACTTACATGATCCTACTGGACTGGTAAAGTTAAGCATTCTAAACCTTGAAAATAGCAAACAAACAAACAAACAACTTGCAAAAATTCTGGTAATCAAAGGAGGAGGAAAAGTTAGTCATTTGGTGGAGAGCATTAGATAGTTGTAAGGACTGGCATTCTTTTTGAGTAGAAAATGCATTTGCAGAAGCTAATAATATTTTCTGTAAAATATTGAGACAGTTAAATATTTTTCTGAAATGCACAACATTAACATAGGAGATGATTGTTTATAGTGTCATTTTAATGATACACTGAGTTCATCAGTGGACTGTATTGATGTTAACAACTTTAAGACAGTACAACACGTAAGAGAAAGTGCTCCTTTCAGCTGATCATAAGACTGCAGGACAAGCCTGTGAATTTGTGTTGATGGTCAAGCATAAATAAACAACCAATACTAATTCTGAACAGAATGGAAAATTAAAAGCGGTTGTAATGTCATACTCTGATGATTTACGAAACAAAGTTAGTGTAAACTTCCAAGAGTACTGTCTTCCAATTTTTTTCTGTCTAGAATTCTGCTGATTCAGTATTTCTGGAAATTTTCCATGAAAGTTGTAAGGAGTCAAAGTTATTTGAAAACACGTCAAGCCTTTATTGAGTATCTTAAAATGCTGCAATGGTAGTACTTTCAGCTTATCACAGTCCATGCATTAGTGGTAGTTATTTGGCTTGTAAGTACTCTTCAAAAGCTCAACTATGCAGTAAGTTTATGGTGAAGAAATTGTACGAGGCATAATGCTACTAAGTGTTTGGCTTGCAAGATGCTCATGAGAGCTGACCAGCAGCTCAACATTAAACTTAATCCAATGAGAGTGAAGGTGGGTACTGCTGGAGTTGGACTTAAATCAGATATGCAAATCTCAGAATGGATAGAACATACATTAATGATCTTTTTTTCATTGATTTTCCCAGCTTTTTTAGAACTTGTTTGTTTTGCTTGTATCAGAATTAGGTTACAACTGAATTCAGGATCCAGTTTCTTTTCTTTCTGATAGGAGAATGAGAAATAGCCTTCACATAAGTATTCTAGTAGGGATTAGTGGGACTTTTTTGTCTGTAGTACTAGACAACTGAAAACAGAAAAGGCTTATGTATGCTTTTCTTCCTAAAACAAGAAGCCTGTGGTAAGTATAATAGTATTTGTGGAGTGCAGTGTCACAATCGTTTACTAATACAAAAACAGCATAGTCTTTTTTTGCATCACTGTGCTCCAGTGAAATGTCACATTTGGCTTGCATAAAACCCTTGTTTCAAGAACCCGTTCATTTATTTTGTTCATATTCTCCCTGTCCCCTTCCTGGAGTACTACATTCAGGTGCCCAGCACAAGGACAGGAGCAGGCCCAGAGGAGGGCCATGTGGAGGATCAGAGGGCTGGAGCACTTCTCCTATAGGGAAGGGCTGAGGGAGCTGGGCTTGTTCAGCCTGGAGAAGAGAAGGCTCGGGGGGAGACCCTGTTATTGTCTTCTGGTACCTAAAGGTGTCAGCTGAAAATACGAGAGACTTTTTCTCAGGACAAGAGGGAATAGTTTTAAACTGAAAGAAAGGAGATTGATATCGGATATTAGGAAGAAATTCTTCTGTCTGAGGGTGGTAAGGCACTGGCACAGACTGCCCAGAGAAGTGGATGCTCTATCCATTGGAAGGGTTGAAAGCCAAGTTATCCAATGGGTAGTGTCCCTGCCCACAGCAAGGGTTGGAACTAGATGATTTCCAAAGTCCTCTCCAGCTCAAAATATTCTGTAACTGTGAAGATTGAAGGTTTTCCATTATTCCTTGTCTGATCGACACCTGTATTGGCAGATGTCATTCAAACCAAATGAATGGGGGTGCTGCAAAAGTATCTTCCAAGAGGAACTCACTGCAGGGTATTGTACAAAAGTAAATGTTATTCCCCTGAAACTCCAAACCCATTTACTACTGAAGAATCACTTGTCTGAACATAATGATTGCTGGCAAAATACTCAGCTACTGTTGTTCAAGCAACTAACCTTTAGAATGCTGTAAAAAAAATCAAAGAACTCTTTTGTCTAATTTACTTTTTAGATTATGACAAATTCAGCAGATATTTACTACCATGAATTCTGGATTATGCCCATTCCTACAGGTTATGCTTTTTGGATTAAAAATGCATGCCTATTGAAAAACAACATGATACAGCTCAAATTGAGAACATCGTTCTAATAATAATATTCAGTCCACAGAATTCTCTGATTCTTTAGTCACTGTCCATTTTTAAATGGAATAGTCAGCCTTCCTACTATTCTCTGTCCTACCTCTCCTAGGTATTCTTCCCTGAAGGCCTCATACAGGCATTTGTGTTTTGGCATCTCTGAAGTTTGTGCCCCAGATATGTCCATTTCATTTGAATGGTGCTGGAGATGAGCTGCTGTGTTTAACTGCAGGGCCAACATCCACTAAAACTACATCTACATGTCTGTTATGCAATTTGTAGAGTAGAAAGACTAGTAATCTGAATCTGATAAAATATGAGTCTATTATAACTGTATAGGAAAATTAACTTCAATATTGAAACATGAAGAATTGGGGTTGCAGGTTATTCAAATTGATGCTTACTTGCAAGGAGGCAATTCTTTGTGTCTTTTGTTGTTGTTTCTTGGTTGTTTTTTTGCTTGTTTGTTTTTTTGTTGTTGTTCGTTTTTGTCATCCATTGTCAAGTAGGAGAACTTACAAATAAGCAAAATAACATTTGACCATGCTACTGAAGTAGTTTGTGGCAGGGTTGTTTTGTTTTCTTCTGCTTGCTTTTCTCCTTCAGAATCAACAAGGGAAGGCAAACAAAATAATCAAAATTTGCCTCCTGTCATTGAGAAACTTAGTAAAACAGGTGTCAGAAAACAGTTTACACAGAAGATATTTATATGAAAACAAAAATAAAAGAAATAAGCAATAGAAATGAAAAGGGGAGAGAAGACTCAAGATAAACCATATAGCTGTGGTTTAGAGATACGCAGATAGGAAGAGCAGAAAGAAGGAAGATAGCACAAATCATGAGAAATAAAATGCCTTTATCTTAGCCTCACATCTGTTGTGGTGCTCGGGGGGGCTCTGTAGGTTAGAGGAGCACTGCACTGTATGAAAGTCTGTGGTTATCTTATGTAGTGGTAACAGACTCATTTCCCCCTTGCCCCACAACCCACCTCATACATGCACTCCCGCTGTTAAGAAAACTACTTACTTGTCAGCTCCAAGCATTCTGACCATTAGGAGAAAGAACAAGCTTTTTCTCAGATACTGTGAGTTACTACAGAAAATTGGCTGATCTTTTCAGACTCAGCCTGTTCCACCTCTTTTTCCTGTTTGCACTCCCTGGCTGCTGAAAGTCCTCTGTGACACTTTGGAAACAGCTACATCTGCACCAAAGCAGGAGGGAAGATATGAAGTCTTTAGTAAACAGATTTTGCTTCTCTACACAAAGTTTTCTGATGCTTGACTTCTTACTATTTATTTAGGAGACCAGTGTCTGGTTGGTCACCAGTTTACATAATGCCAGCTTTCCGGTAGCACCTGAACACTTAGCAAACTGTTTGCATGGTTTTTGCCTCACACTGATGGCATTTCATCAATTTTTGTTTCTGCATTAAATTTTTGTTTCTGAAAGTATGAGGTGGAAAGATGGTCCTTGGTCTGCCAACCATGTGCAGAAGTCATATTTTTTCTCAGAACTTTACCATGGAACTTTAGAGATGAACAAGCTAATGATGATGTATTGTTCAAATTAAGCATTTAACTTTCCAAAGCATATTGATGTGTTCGAATGCAGCTCAACATGTAATCTTCCCTGTTCCTCCTGGCTGATGCACAGTCACAAGTTCTATTATGTGCTATTGGATTTGAAACCAGATTAATGTCTCAAACTTTTCTTTGTCAATAAGTAATATGGTATAGGGGTGAAAAGCAGCTTTTTGAAATTACTGGTTATTAGATTGCCAACAACCACAAATACCCCCCTGTGAAATTCTTCCATTGGCTTCTCATCAGTGCAAATGCATTGCACCCCTCAAATTGTTCATCCATTTTGCACTCGGAGAACAGAAACCAAGCCTGAAACCAGAAACTTACAATAGCATGATTATTCTTCTTTAGCATACTCACATTTAATGGACCAATTAAACTATTAATACATGGCACATCTCTCATTGGGATGATTATAATAAAGTATTACCATGGTTTCCCTTGGGGAAAAATCAGACTCCTTGTTCAAGGCCTTGGTTTGATTGTGCTCCTAGGGCTTGACACTGCAGCAAAAGAAGTATCGAGTGGGACTCGGGATGAAAATCTGCTTTCTTGAGGCATTGTTACCTCAGGGCAGCACAGGGCTGTCCTGACAGTCAGCACAGGAGCAGCATGCAGCAGCACACTGCTCGTGCCCAAGGATATTAGCTTTGATTTCACACCGCTTTTAATAACGATAGGTATTTGCATTGCTTGGGATTTGCTTTTTTTCTTTCTTGTTCTTAGTAAACAGCATTTTATTTTGCACTGAATTATTTGGGCCACAGGTCTTTGCTTAGAGAAAAACACATTTAAATTTACCTGGCAGTAAAGCATAGAGAAACTGAGATAAAAACAGCTTGCAGCTGTCATCCTGCTGTGCTTCCAGGCGCTGTGAGCCCTGCAGGTACTGCACTGATGTCTGCAGATAGGTCAGTTGAGCCCAGCAGGTATGTGGTTCTGAGCCTTGCAGATACGCGAGTGCGAGCCCCGCAGGTACACACTAGTGAGGGAGCAGTGCACGGCCGCAGCCCCTCCTGCCCTTCTCTCGCATCTCCTGCGCTCCTCGGGAAGAACCCGATTTCCTCCGTTATGTTTTGGACTGAACGTTCCAGGCAACCGTTCTCAGCGCTGAGATTCTTTCCCGTTCCAAGCCCCCTCTCAGACTGGGCCTGACTGCCTCGGACCCGGACCGGCCGTCCCATCGCACCCCGTCCCGTCCCGCCCCCCGCCCCGCGCGGTGTCACGTGCACGGAGTCACGTGCCGCCCGGAGATGGCCGCGGCGGCGCTCCTCAGGTGCCCGCGGGCCTGAGCGCGGCGGAGCGGCGTGCGGTCGCCGCGCGGCCATGGAGGTGTACATCCCCTCCTTTCGCTACGAGGAGAGCGAGCTGGAGCGGGGCTACACGGTGAGCCGCGCCGCCCCGGGCCGGGCCCGTCCAGCCCGCGCCCGCGAGTGGCTGCGACCCCGCCGGCTGAGGCTGCGGTGGTCGCGCTGAGATGGGGCGGAGGGGGCTCGTCCGGGCGGGGAGGCGAGGGGGGGAGCCGGGCTTCTCGGAGCCGGGCCCGCGGGCGTGCTGCCGCGGCCGAAGGCACCGCTGTGCCCGGGGAGCGGCCCCGTCCCGGCGGATTCCAGCGGCGGCCGCCGCCTCGGAGCGTTCTGCAGAAAGCAGGCAGCGCCGGCTTCTTTCCTCACGAGCGTTCGTTCGGAATCGCGTCCCCCAGAGCGGCTCCGTGTAGGTGAACGGCGTGGGGCGCTTCCCTCCTGCCGCCCGATGTGCGCCGCTCCGTGTTCTCGGCACGGGCAGAACCGTGCCAGGCTGTGCGGGCTCTTACCGCTCTGCGCTCAGCTCCGTGCCGCTGCCGGCGTGGTGGGAGGCTGTGCCTTCCTCGGGCGCAGCGCTTGTCGATTAAATCAAAGCCGATGCAAGTAAGGGACGTCATTGCACTTCCCCTCGGTTGGGTCATCATCTTCTGCCGCAGAGCCTCCAGCCAGACCCGAGAACTTCGGCGGCATTTTGCCTGTGTTTGGCCAACAGTCTGTGAGTACCACGGCTGGTGCTCCTCCTGCTTGGGCCTCCTTAGGGATCTGTGGTGGCACCGAGCGAGTCCTGTGCCGAGAGCAGAGGTGGATGTGCACTGCTGTGTGTGCACGAGCTGGAGATGTCCGGGCCTGCAGAGCAGCTCAGCCTTGCAGACCATTTCGGATGCATGCCGATAGAAGTGTGACCACAACCGTATTTCTGCCTCTTTCTTAAGCTTGAGTGCAAGAGTTGACCTGCAGCATGATTTAGAAGTATGAGATCATCTTTAAAACATGGTAGAGTATTTAAAACAGGCAGTCAATGGAATCCAGCACGTCCCTCATCCCTTATGAAGAAAGATTGAGGGAACTGGGCCTGTTTAGCTTGGATAAGAGAAGGCTGCGGAGAGACCTCATTGTGACCTTCCAATACTTGAAGGGAGCGTATAAACAGGAGGGGGAATGGCTGTTTACGAGTGTGGATAGTGATAGGACAAGGGGGAATGGGGAGGTTTAGGTTAGATATTAGGAGGGTGGTGACGCACTGGAACAGGTTGCCCAAGGAGGTTATGGATGCCCCATCCCTGGAGACATTTCAAGGCCAGGATGGATGTGGCTCTGGGCAGCCTGATCAGGTGGTTGGTGACCCTGCACATAACAGGGGTTTGAAACTAGATGATCATTGTGGTCCTTTTCAACCCAGGCCATTCTATGATTTGGTGATCCTGACAAATAAATGTCCCTTGGTTGGTTGAAATGACAGAGGGATGTGCAAGTTAGGAATATCACACAAAGCGTTGTTTTTTTTTTCTTATAGCAATATATATTTTTAATATGAGTTAGTATTTTTTGAATGTTTGCAGTCTGAATCCTGCTACCCAGAGGGTCTGGTTTTTTCATTTTACATGCATCAAGCTGTGTAAGTATCAGAGAAAATCAGAAATGAAACTATCCAGAAACCATAGAAATAATTTTGAAAGTGAAGATTTTTACAACACTATTATTTTCTGGTCAGCAGCGATGACTGAAGCTCATGCAACTGAAACCTGCTTTTAGCTCAGTAGAGATGGATGATTATTCCTGCGTGATTACCTTACCTCTTCAATCACATGAGGGGTCAGAATTTCTGTAAAACATCACATTGAAAAAAAATCATTCTGTAAACAATTGGATCAGTTCTAGGGTTTACCTGAATATGAAACCATACTAAAATGCATAGGCAAAGTTCCTCTGTGTCAGGCATACTTGTGGCAGAGAAGATGGAAGTCAGTGCTGATAATGATGGGGTGCTTTACTTTGAGGGCTGCCTCCTATTTTAATGATGTTGGCGCATGATGTAAGAGGTGGATGGTGGTGATATTGCAGTAGAAGCTGAACCTTCTCACCAGTATTTCATTACACGTTGTTGCCATGTGACAGATGGCAACAGAGAGGCAGTCTGACAGAACTGGAAGAGCATTCGAGGCAAATACGTAGAACTGAATTTCTTCATGCAGAAACAGTGGCACCCACTGACATTCCTTGACATGTGCTGAAGTTTACAGAGACCGAGCAGCGGATGAGAGCATGGCGAGGGGTGGGTGGTGTGTTTCAGCAGTAGTGACAGTGATGTGAAAGACAAGCCAAGTTCTGGATGGCCACTTACAGGTGTCACACCACGAAATGAAGAGTGTCTTGATCAGCTCATCCACTCAGATTGGCAGATTACAACCAGAGAGCTGTGTATGGAGCTGAATATCAGGCTTTGGTGTGTTGGATGGTGAGTACTTTGGAATATTGCACAGTTTGCACCAGGTGGCTTCCACAAATGCTCACAGAGGAACAGAGAGAACACTATATGCAAGTTTGTCAGGACCTATTGAAGCAATATGAGGCTGAAGGTGACAGTTTCCTGGATTCCATCATTACCACTGACAAGACATGGTCTCACTTCTACAAGCCGGAGTCAAAATGGCAGCCCAGGAGTGGTGACATTGTATTCCCTATTGAAAGGAAAGTTCATGATGCAGCCCTCAGCGGGCAAAGTGATGTGCACTGTCTTTTGGGACAGGAAATGGATGAACCTTGTGGATTTCCTGGAACCTGGAAAAACTATCAACTCAGACCACTACATTGTGATGCTGACTAATCTGAAGGCTTACACTTCCAGAGTCATGCCAGGGGAGACAAACCTTTCTCTTGCAACAGGATAACACCAGGCATCGTACCAGTTTGAAGACTATGAAGTGTAGCGACAACCTTTTGCTGGACTGTCCTGCCACATATGCTTTATAGTCTGGATTTGGTGCTGTCTGACTTCTGTCTGTTCAGCCTATGGGTGATGGATTGTGTGGGCAGCATTTTCACAGCACCAAAGCCATTATAGCTGTGAAACAAGTGCGTCATCTCCACTAGTGCAGATTATTATGAGCTCAGTGTGGAGGCTCTTGTTTATCAATGGCAAAAATGCACTGCTGCTGGTGGTGACTGTGTTGAAAAAGAGTGTTCTGTAGCTGTGAATTTGCTCTATCAAACATCGTTACTGTGCTCTTTGTTGTAGTTTCCCTGGGAAGAAATAAGAGGCATTACTTTTGGAGCCATCTACATAAATAGCTTAAGTGTTATACCAAGCATGGTATAACTTCATGGCCAGTGCAAATGAGGACACCATAAACCCTCCTTCCAGCAAAACTGAGGTTGATGAGAGCTCTGTTCGAGGTAGGAAGATACTTGATAGGAAGAGAGATTTCCTTGAGAGGAAAAAGTAACAGAACAGTTTTCTTTTGTTGAACTAAAATTTCACCTGGAGAGTTGGAACGTGTAGATATGTCAAAAGTTCAGACCATGTAACCTCTTTTTGGGGCGGCCCACTGTGGGGTGAGTATTCAGAGCTGTGCTCTAAAGTATGCAAAGCATTGAAGTCTTTGTGATTAAGTAGATGTTTCATCACTTCTGAGCTATTAGGTGTGATGAATTGGAAAAGCTGAAATAAGAGAAGAAAGGGATGCTGTTCCATACCAAATCTCCTTGAAATATAGGCTTTAAATGAAAGGAGATTGTTGCTATTCTGGAGCTCTGTAGTATATCTGAGTGAATGGTGTTTTTTCTATTAAATGTAATAGGTAATTTAATTTCAATTATTTTATGTCATCAAGCTTGCATATGTTACTAACCTTTAAAACAGTATGATGATGTTCACAGAAGGGCTGCTTAACACAGCTGGTCTTAGAGAGGTGATAACTTGCTCCCTGGTGCAACTGAAACAAAGAATTATCAGAGGCAATGTGATTCAGTGGTGCAAAAGCACAACGGAACTGGAGGCATGTAGATGGTTCTGCTGGGTTCCCTGTTAGCAGTGTGCCAGGAAGTCATAGAAGGCATCTTCTCTGCTCTGTGCTTATCAAGGGACCATTGCAGTGAAGGAGGGCTTTAGAGGTATTACTGATCGTGGTGGTGGTGGTGGTGGCCTTCTGCATAGTGTGGATGGCTCTGCAGGCTCACAGTGCTTTGCTGGCAAATCTGGCCTTCTGCTTTCTTATCTGTCAGAGCAGGATCTGTTTTCTCTCGTACTCATCCTGCCACCATTGCACTGCCTGGAAAGGAGAGTGTTCATCCTTTGTTGTGAGGAAGCTTGATACCAACTTGCTGTTTAGCTTCCAGGTTGATTCAGGAAAAGAAAGGAGTACAAATAAAATAAAGGAAAAGTCTGCAATACAACACTTGAGGTGGTGCTTGGTCAACAGAGCAAATGAAGAGCTGGTTGCCTTCTATCTTTGTTTCAGGGGCTCATGCTAGAATGCTCTTCTCTACCATGAAAGCTTTTTTCTTTTTTCCCCAGAAAAATCTAGAGTAACCTTTTTTATTTTATTTTTGTGTATACGTAAAGTGGTGCAACAGAGTAAGGAAAATGTCTGTTTTCCTTGTGGACAATTAGATTTCATTGTCAGTTTAAATTGATGACACTAGCTTCCAAACTATTGAGCCTGTGCTAATAAATGCAACAATTGTTCATAATTTGGCAGTGAATGACCTTTAAATGTAGACGCTTACTAAGGATATCCCTAGGGAACAATTTAACTTCGAAATGACACCCGTGTGTTCTTGTTATCATTTAAATATGCTCCCTTTGTCAATAACAGAATAATAAATACTGGTTAGATTTCTAATGTTGATTCAGATGCTAGGAATCTTACTGAATATATTACTGTACATTTGATTTATATTGACCAAAAAATTTTTACAGTGGTGTACTGCTGGTCAAGGTGACATACGTTTAAACGTGTTCTAGAGCAGAGGTCGTACTTGACTGACACATGTGCTTATTGCGTTTTTAATTAACACTTTATTACTACTCCTAGAATTGCTCCTGGAGTTGTGGAAGCAAGGTACAACCTGTAAGATTGTGAA